TATCAATTTGAGAATAAGAAGATGGGTTACGCGCATTCCAAGTATTATCATAAAAATAAATATCAATATTGCCACCACTAAAACCAAAGTATGGACCAAATATTGGACGACAATATACAGCATATTGAGTATGATCATCCTTAATATAACCTACTTTTGCAGTTTGAAGGTTCGTTCTATTTATGAATGAGAATATAAAACTATCTTTGGTAGATTTCCATTGAGAATTTCCTTCCCACCCAAATGGATTATATCCTCCCACTATTTGTTGCGTCCCGCTAATTTTTATTACGACGATATTGGCCCCTTTATTATCACATTTTTGATGAAATGCTGCAGGTGTATTACCATCCCTACTGGCACGATAAAGTAAATTAAAATCATAAGTCGACTTATTTTCTTTCTTATCAATCCAGTAAGAAAATATAGCAAAATGACGAGAATTAACAAGGTATGAATCACATTTTGACTGTCTAGGTGGTTGTATATTTATATCTAATTTTTTTTCTGGTGCCCAAGAATATTCTAAGAGATTAATAAACAAATCCTTCGGTAATAATTCTTTAAAAGGAAGAACTTTTTCATGAAAATCTTGTGAAGATATATGATGAAATCTAATTAAAGGGATGAATCTATGAAGAGTTCTTTCCATCACAGTAGTTTCTTGATTGCTCCATTCTTTTATTTCTTTAGGAATAGAAGGGTTCTGAGCAAAACCCCACCTCATACAACTATCCCAAATATCAATTTCATACAGCCTTAAATCATCCCGTTTTAAAAGGTGTTCTAATAAAGGTGCTTTTATACTGATAAATTTTTCAGAATTAAAAAGCTCTTCAGGATCTTTGCAAATTTTTTCAATACAAAAATTTCGTAATTTCGTAAAGGATTCATGTTGATAAATTGTTTCAAGAACTCCTATAGGATTGTTTTGTAAAAACTCATGATGGTCTTTAAATAAATAATCTTTAATACCGGAAACTAAAGATTGGAGAAGAAGCATACTTGCTGCGCTTAAAAGCTTCAATATTTCAGTTTCTTCTAATTTCGTCATGTCAATCCTTCCGCAATATATAAATCTGGAAATTTAAAAAGAGATTAATACCGATTTATATTATAGACGTAATTGTAATTATTTACCTTAAAATAATTTTAAAAAGATTCGGAGGAATGTTTGGTATTTTTAAAATATATTTCCCATCCTTCTTCTCAACATTTTCTTTAGTTAATTCTTCATAAAAATATTGCGACCTGAAGCGTAAGATATTTGAATGTGCATGTAGTTCTTTAACGTTTTCATTTTCACCAGCACAAATAATGACATCATAACCTTTGTCATTTTCGAATAACCTTTCATAATCATTGGAAATTTCTTGTAAATATTCACAAGACATTTTTTTTTTTTTTTTTTTTTTTTTTCAGAAGTTAAAGGTTAAAAAAAAGAAAAAATCCAAGCTTTTTATATTTATTGATTTGGAAATTCAATTAAGCTAAATTTAAACAATTGCACCAATTTCGTATTATTAGATGATCTTAGCTGTTTTAGATAACACAGCCTAATCAAATTATTTTTTTAAGAATTATGACAGATAAATAGATTTTGTTTTTTGTTTTTAGATAGAGGAATTGAAAATTGGTATAATATCTCATCGTGCTCATTATACTGTATATCTCTTAGCACTATTAAATAATGCCCGCCAAAATTATTTTCAAATCAAGGTATTTTTGCACCAAAGAAATTTATGATTATAAGGAAGAATCAAGAAGTAATGACATTTTTATTAGATATTTACTTAAAAAAATAATTTAAATGAAGAGGCAAACACTTTGATTAATAAAACAACTTCATACATTTACTTTTTGTAACGTGATCCTGGAATCGGTAAGCATGATCGCATAACGACATCCCGTATCAATGATTTTTATTTTAACCGCCATTTACGGGAAAGATTCGTCTTGAGCTGTTATGTGGATAATTGGCAATTGGATAAACCTGGACCATTAAATGTGAAACGAAAAAATACTTTCCCTCGAAAAAAATTTTATGAGAATTTCTGTATAAAATTAAATCCATCAACGAATAATAACTGACTTAACGTTCTCATTACTACCCACAACCTACAACTCAAGAATCAATAATAATCCACAGGAATCACGTAAGTATATCGCATAAAGGAAGACCGGTTAATTATATTCGTCACTTTCTTACAAAAAAAAAACAGCGATACTCAAGAATAACAAATTATTTAATCTGATTAGAAAGATTAGTTCATAAATAATTTGATGATACTTCAATTTCATATGCAATATAAAGACAACATAGATTTTCTTTCAACATCAGCGTTTGCTCAAATATTAGAATCGAAATCATATTCACTAAGTAAAGTGCAAACAACCATTTCATATTATAAGCGCCGCAAAAAAGACTGGAGACACATTAATACATGATTTATAATTTTCCTTCATTGATCATTCAAATAAGAAAAAATTGTTGTCACTTAAATTGAAATCATAATATCAACATATTTAAGAGATAACTGATGCTTTAACCATGGGTTTGAATAAATCATATAATTAAAGCTAATGACATTACTAGATTGCTATAGTGAATTATGCGAATATATATTTACTTCATATCATATAACTGATTCGTTAAAATGATTAAGCTATTAAATCACGTTACGGATATAATTACGGATATGATATCGTTATGTAATAAATTCATAAAAAAAAAATAGCAAAAGAAAGTTCTTTGTATTATGCTAAAGCAAGCATGACGATAATGCTTTATTACTTTTATTTTTGAAACATATAATTAATATTTGTGTCGAAAGGACGAAATTAATAAAGTGCTAATCAACTTGTAATTGAATTCTGCAGCTAAATTTGTTCACATAATGTAATAAAAGTAAATTTGAATTCTGCATGTTCCTTCTAAAAGATTCCAGCATGATTCCATTCCGCCAGAATTTTGGGTAAACTTTCCCTGAATGAATTTTAATTATTACATATTTTGACAATATATTGAATCTGGTGCCGAAAATTTCCCCGTAAAAAGTAGATAGTTTCACCAAAATCACTGTTATCGTAGTCATTCTTAACTAACAAATTGGTAAATATGACGGAAGCACCTCTTAGTGCACTATAAAATGTGACAAACTGAGCTGACATTATCAGTTTTATAATATGTTTACTATCATGATATTTGTAAATATATTATTGTTTTATTCCAGTAAAAATTATTTATGATATCTGATGAATTATTAAGGTAGTGGAGCATTATGTGACCTTCAATGCTAGTTGCTGTGAAGTAAAGTAATCACAGATCTAAAGAAATATTTCTTCGAAATTTCCCGAAATCCTAAGTAATTAAGTGACACATGTATTCTAATTACATATAGATATTCGATTATAGAATACCTTATTTGAACAATTAACGCGTTATGTATATACCGCGGAAATTTTCTTTAATATGACTTCTTCAATATGGCAGCGGTTAGAAATACATTGTTTTGCAATGATCAATCTATTTTTTTTTTTTTATGCATAATTTAAGATGTAAAATATTTTTTTTAAAAAAAATATAAATTTTATAGTATATATGTTCGTTTTCGACAGCATGGGAATTTATCAACAATCTTTAAAAAAAATTAGCTTATATATCAAATTGTTGCTCTTATATTTACCTAAAACAACAATTAAAAAAATTTATTTCATAGTTAGTTTTTTCTGATTTTTATATCGAAAGATAATTTATTTACGAAAAAAAAATAACGGAATTAATGAATATTAAAAGAACAAAATCAAAATCACAAAGCCACGACAAATTTTATTTCGCCTCAGCTCAATTTTACAATATGACAATTCTCGAATTATTCTAAAAGTATATGCTCTGTAGGAAAATTCCATCATGAAAACGCTTCGAGCGAATCTCACTCTCCGAAAATGATGATTCCTTAATCAACAAAGATATATTTTTTATTCAAAAAAATAAATAGCAAATTTATCTTAATGGATTGCCTAAAAAGAATTATATGAATGACATGTTAATTTATATTTAAAAATATGAACGAACAATTGAATTTTTTAGAGTAACTTTACGGGTAAAATTGATGTAACAGTCGAACCAGACGAACCCGAAAAAAAAAAATTAAAAATTAACCGCCTATAATTTAATCGACGCTGCCCGGAACGATCAAAAAAAAAACTCAATGAAATCGTAACATTCGTTCTGGACTAATCTAGTTTAATTAGTAGCGTGAGAATGGTAACGATCAAACGATTAGTACACTACCGGTTTTCTAACTACTGTTACAGTAAAGAAAATTCTTAAAGTAACCATCTTATAGCTCATTTACATAAGCCACGGTACAGCCGATAATATCTGAAAAGCGTCCACATATTTTTACGGGTAAAAAAATTATCGTTCCGAGTTATTTTGCAAAATTATATTTACCCCTCACCACAAAAAATTCCCCCCTAATTTCTGGCCGGCATTATGGAAGTTGACCGAAATTAATCATGTGACAATTGAGGAGACAAATAGGAATTTAAAAAAGTGGAGGGAGTGACACGTTATCGGTACATGCGCCAGACAACTTTCTACGAAATTTTTTTCTTTTCGAAAATAAATTTATTTGAACATTAAAATATATATGTAGGTGTATTTTTCAAGTTACAAATGAGGTTTTTGTTGTAAAATTTGACTTATCCGCCACATACATTAAACCATATGATCGGTGTAATCTGGCACACATTTCAGATTTGTCAAATTTTTAGTATTTAAAAGTTAATTTTTTTAACAATTGCACAGTATTCGATCAATAAGGCTTAAAATAAACAATTTATTCACTAAAAGCATATTTATTTATACGGTAACCATAAAAAATTTTAAATCATTTTTTCTGAATTTTTATTTTGAGAATATAATTTAAAAGAAAACATAATTTACGAAAATAAAAAGAAATTTCTCATCTATTTCATATATTAAAATTATTTATCTAATAATATAATTTAACATCACAACCTGAAAAGTCGTCGTAAAGTTCTAATTCTTCATTAATTTCACTTTCTTCAAGTTCTTTATGATTAAAATGACCAATGTTGTTTAGTTCCGAAACTATTAGATCAATATCTGGTCTGTCGTCTGGTTCATGTTCCCAGCATTCTACGTAAATTAAAGATAAGATTTAATAAAAAGAATAAACTTGTAAAAAAACTAAAAATTATTCTTACTTTGATAAATCTTAACAAATACATCATTTGTGGTTGAAATATGGTTTTCTCTTAATCCTTTAAGGATTTCAATCTGAATAGAAGTATCGTCTGTTGTTTCAAAATTGAAAGGTGATGAACGACTTGTCAATTCCCAGAATAAAACTCCCAAGCTATAAATGTCAGATTTTTTGGTAAAGTCATATAAAGGATTTTCAAAAATTTTAGGATCCATATAAGGTATTACACCTATTACACCACGTGCTGCTTTAGTAACTGATCCTTGTAGGCATGAACATCCAAAATCCGATAATTTTACTGTATTTTGATGGATTAAGACGTTATTGGAATGCTAAATATAATTAATAATATAAATAAAATTATTAACAATACAATAAAATAAACCATAAAAGTAATAATAGCTCACAAGATCCCGATGTATAATTTCATTGTCATGTAACCATAAAATTGCACTCGCGATTTCTTTGGCAAATTTTAATTGACTTTCCCAGTCAAAAGATATGGCGTTGTCTTTTAAATATTTTCCTAACGTTCCTCCATCCGCATATTCAAGTATAAGTTCATAATTTGTTTCATCTAAATAATATAAAATAAGTGTGAGCAATAATACTTAAATAACTTGAATAAAATTCTAAACTGTAATCTTTTACCATTTAAATTCATGATCCCATGAAATCTAATTATATTTGGATGAAAATCCCCCGTTTTTCTCATAATTCCCATTAAATAAACCTAGTAAAGAATATATATATTTAATTGGGATAAAAAAATATTCAAAACTATAACTATTAATAACAAACCTCGTTTAAAATCATTTCTTTAGTCGAACCTTCGGCAAATTGTTTAATTGCAAGTTTTATTTGAGTAGTTTTCCAATATGCAGTATAAACTAAAGCAGAACCTCCAAAACCGATTACAGAAAGAACCGTAAAATCTTGAGAGTTATAATAAGGAATGTCGCAACCATTGTGGCACAGAAGCATTTGTGTACGACCTTTTCCAATTATAGGTTAAAATGAGCATGTTAAAAAAAAAAAAAACCGTTTGATTTTTTAAGGATCTTCCTTTTTTTTCGCAGCATACAAAAATATTTGCAGATTTTCATAGCTTGTAAATGAATAAAGTAAATAAATAATGATAATATAAGTTATGAATTTTATTCCAATAAATAGTCAACATTAAATAATTAAATTATTCATTGAAAAAACATGTGAATTGCCAAACAGAAGCAAAATTATTTTTCTGAAATTTTTATATAATGTGAAGTTACACAGTGAGCTTGCATAATACGCCCAAATGCTTCGGACACTACATAACACATTTGGATTTTGATTATATCATATTACATTTTGTGTAAGCCTACCACATTAGTATTTTTTAGCATGTCGTGAAATACAAGTTTGTCCATCCTAATATGACAAAATATTTGTAAGGATTTTCATCGCAAAATAAATTTTTTTTTACAAGATTTGATCACTTTAATGATTTATTTAAATAATTAATTCTACATATTAATATATATATATTTTATAGAAAACTACCACCACTTTTCAAATAAAACTCTCTTTTCTTCAACGCCAGATTCTTTTAACCATTTAATTACATCATCCTCCATTTCAGAAGGTCCACAAACAAAGCATTTTAATCTTTCTAAATGTTCTTTTTCTTTCTCAACAACTTTTGCCAAGATTTCCTCATTGATCCGTTGTTGATAATAAAATTCACTATCGCTCCTTTGATCTTGAGGAGCATCTCTTGTCAAAAAATACTTACATTCTAACAATCCCGGAAATTGTTGTTGCAACCCTTCAATTCTCTTATAAAATAACAATTCGCTAAAAGTTCTTACGCTGTACAGTAATATAATCTTCTCAATTTTTTCATTCTGGTTATTTTCTTCAACGGATAAGATATCTTGACAAATTGATTCCAACATACTAATCAAAGGATTAATCCCGACACCGCCAGCAATAAATATTACATGTCCAGTTTGATCTTGTTTTTCTTTTGATGAATTCCATACAAATTCTCCACCTACTCTAGCATTAATTTCATCCCCTATATTCGCTTGTTCATGAAGCCATTTAGCAGGTGGATGACCTGAATATTTTATTGCTAATTCAAATGTTTTAGTTTTTGTGAAAGTTTGTGGTGTTGAAGTTAATGAAAATCCTCCCACTATTGGTACATTTAGAAGAAACACATCTAACCATTGACCTGGTAGAAATGAAAATTGCTGTGATGAACTTGTAGGACTAAATTTAAATGTTTTGACTGTTGGCGTTTCTTGTTCGATTCCTATAATCCTTGATGAAATCGTTACCTAAAAAAAAGGTGAATCATTTAATTAATTTAAATCCATAAAACAAAAAATTACGTTCGATAAAATTTTATTATACTTTTTGTCTTTCTAAATGAATCGTCCTTTCCAAATGTGTAGTCTTGTTTTTGGATTCATCTTTACCAGATAAAACATTCATTTGTTGTTCCTGTTGTAACATTATTATCTCATTAAAATATGGAAAAATTTTATCAATCCGTTGAATTTTGAAGTTAGATAACGTTCTTTTGAATATATGATTTGACAACATCCGGAAAGAAATTCAAAAAAATTTTTTTTTGAATTTATATCTGAAGCATGATCCGTAGATCTGTAGATCACATTTTTATTGACGTATGACGTAATTCATGTGATACGATCTAGGGGATTACAAATCGAAAAAAAAAAAATTTTTTTTTTCTCGACCCTTTTACGTCCAATCTTTAATGAATCAAAAAAAAAAATAAAAAAAAAATGGAAACATCAAATTCAATGAAAGATGCCTCAAGCAACGAATCTAAAACTTGGTTTCCCATTTACTTTGATCACAATAAGCAAAAGATGATGCCTCGATACGTTCATCCGAATTTAGATATTCATGAATTCCTTACACCTCATGAGGAGAATCATTCTTCAACTGGAAAAATGAATAGATGGAGCCAAGGAGAAAACAACTTATTCCTTGAATATTTGTCCGTGAATTTTTACCAGTGGCAATATCATAAAGAAGCCCTTTACAAGTGGCTGAGTAAAGTTGTATTTCAGGATCAGATCAGTGATGTATACATTTTTCACAAATGGAAGAATTTACGCGGAACATATTTTGATGAACGACGAAAAACAGAAAGTAAATGGATTTATTTCAATAAAGTTCATGAATTGATAGAAAGACAAAAAAAATTTCTGGGTGATAATGGTGATGATGGTGACGCTGATGGTGGTGATGGTGAACAACAAATTGATGACAATCATACCGCAAATCAAATGGAATTGGAAAGTGAATGTAATGAAACAGATTATGAAGATGAAGATGATGATGATGTAGAAGATGACGATGAGAACAAAGATAAAGATGAATTAGTAGGTGTACAGTGTAGTAAGTTGTCTGAAGAACGCGTCAAATCTAACAAATCGTCTGTTGTAAGAAAAAAAAATAGATTTTGGACAGTTGAGGAAGAGATTTTATTAATGGATCTTTTGAAAGTAAATATAGATGAGTATATAGAACGTCAACTCAAATGTTTAGAACGAATTCAGAAAATTCATTTTCCACAATTTTCTGCGAGGAATGTAGTACATAAATCGTATTCATTAGGTAAATTGTATAAATTAGATAAATTAGGTAGTAAAAGGCATCGAAGGAATAAGTATCCGAAACAAGAGCAGGAACTTTGGTCGAAAGCAAATGAATTTTATACTCTATTTGATCAAAAAAAAATAAAATGGACAGTTGAAGAAGAAATTTTATTGATCGATGTGCTGAAAAATCATGTAGAAGAATATGTTGAAAATGAGAATGAATTTCTAAAACGAATTAATGAAAAATATTTTCCAACAAAGTCTCCTAAAAGAATAAAGTTAAAATTGATATTTCTCTCACCGGGATATCATAAAAAACATCAGGCTCGATTAAATAAGAAAAATGTAACCGAACAGGATCGGGAATTATTGTCAAAGGCCGGTGAAGTTTTTCCGTTAATTAAAAAGAAAAGGAAAGAACTCAATGTAAAAAGAATGAATGATGGTGTTAAAAAAAGATTGCCACCAAGAAGGAAGGCTCACAAAACTCAATTGTTGCCTAAAACATTGAAAGTAGGATATAAAATTTCTTTAGATCATCAAAATTTATTTAATCTAGGACGTTCATTATTAAAATATATTGATGATGAGGGAAATAAGACGAGGTTTGGGTTTTTTTTTTTTTTTTTTTTTTTTTAAAAAAAAAATACTTTTTATTGTTTACTTTTTTTTAACATAATCGTTTCCGTTTAGTGAAATGCTAGAAGAAGTGGTAAATGTTGAATGGCCTGAATGTACATACTCGTAAGTAATTAAACTTGTTTTAGTATTTTCAATTGAAACTTACTTATTTCCTAAAAAAAAAATTTTTTTTTTTAAGGAAATCAAAAAACGTCGAAAAAGCAGAACAGTTACTTTTCAAGCCGGATGAAAATTTTTAATCAATGTTCAAAATATTTATCCATATTCATACAAGTTTTTTGGATATTCATTATTGCATTTCATGGAAATATTAATAAAAGTATGTTCATGAAAATATTTAAAGTTTCAGGTTTAAAAATTACTAATATGAGAAATTTATTTTGAATTTTGTAGGTTCTCGTCAAAATTTTAATGATTGAGGTCCCTGTAGGTTATGATCTATTCATTTTGCGTTGTATGTTTGTGAATTAATCAATCTTTTTATATATTCTGTGGAATAGAAATCTTTGCTAAACAATTGGTTTTTACAAATTAAAAAAGCAACATTTTTTTTTGAATTTTATTTCGTTTGAATTTATTATTTTATTTTCTTAAAAATAAATATTTGATGCTTTAATAAATCCCACTAGAATATGAAAAAAGAAACCCTTTTTGTCTAAATGATTTAAGCGCAATGCAATGAGATGTAATTAATATTCACGAGAGTAATATAATCAGTTCGATATCAATTTCCTAAACTGTTTATCATTGAAAAAGGTCATTGAAAAAGGTAGGTTGGTTATTAATGAAAAGCATTAACCATTTGCTACATTTTAACATAATTTTTAATATATTCTTAACCAACAAAAGTATCATTATAAACTTTCAGTACTTGTATGTACGTAATTATTTCTTAGAAACTAAAAATAGTAACAAAAACTGTGATACAGTTTCATCGACATAAAAATGTAACCTCCTGTATATCATAAAAATCTTCTATTATAAGCATACCTTTCATAAAAACCAGTTCCTATAACGCTATAATAAAAATCCCCTTCTATAATCACAATGTTTTTATAGTCCTACCATTTTGGAACTAATACATAGTAATGCTATAAAAAAATTCTTCTATATAATCACTTTCTACTATAGTCACTAGAAGTTGAACTTTTGCTAATTAATTTATTCAAAAGATTTTATTGAAAAATCACAATGGATAAATACATTTCAGCTTTTATGTTTTAACTTCTACTATTAATTTTATACTCATTTAATTATTTTTATAATTGTACATTAATTATTTTTTTTTTTAAGATTACGGAGAGATTTTTTTTTTGTACTTATTCTCTCATAAAAGTATATGCTGTGCTCGGTTTCAATTTTCCATTATTACACTTGTAGTACAGTTAGTACAGTTAAAGTCGAATCCGGCAATAACAATCATTTCATTTTAGGTTTCATTGTTTGGTAGTACTATAGTTCAAGAACAATAGTTATGTCATGTATAATCAATTATTATAATCAAATCCAATGATAGACGCAAGTGTAACTTCGAATTTAAATATAAAAACCAGGGAATAATAATGAAGTTTCTGTTTCGTCTTTTATGTTAACAACTTTCATACTGGTCAACCGAAGTCACCATCAAGAACCTATGGATGGTTGCAATTCACTTCACAATTTCACAATCTAACACCTGATGAAAATAATTAAATAGTTGTATAACTAAATTTTACAAATTTTTTTTAATTATCGAAATCACATTCACAACTTATAGTTGCTCATTTTACAAACAATGTTTAAAATTTGCTTTGCTCTGCGAAAAAAAAGAAGATCCTTCCAAAATACAACGGTTTTTTTTTTGCCAAATGCTATTCCGGATTAGGATTCACCTGGAATGTAATAAGATCTGTTGTGTCACACAATTTGATGGAATTCTAAACTTTTATTGTATAGTTACACCATCACAAAGATCATGATACACAAAACTTTAAAGTTGTTTCTCTAAAGCTGCGCCACAATGGTTGTGACATTCCTTATCATAACTCTCAAGATTTTACGGTTCTTTCTGTAATCGGTTCTGGAAATTCAGCTACGGTTTATGATGTATGTTGGAAACGTACTCAAACAAAACTTGTAATTAAAAAATTTGACGAAGGTTCGACGAAAGAAATGATATTAAACGAGGTTTGTTATTATTTGTTTTTATTAATATATATATTGTTATTACGATTAATTATATTCTTTTCTAGATTCATTTAATGGAAATTATGAGAAAAAATGTTATATTTCATCCAAATATAATTAAATTTTATGGAATTACGAACATAAAAGGTAAAAGAATTATTATTTAGATATTTTATTTAAAGTTATTTTGCTCACACCTTTTTTATATTATTTAGATGAAATAAATTATGAACTTATGCTAGAATATGCGGATGGCGGAACATTAGGAAGATATTTAAGAGAAAATGCCAGTACTTTTAAATGGGAAAGTCAATTGAAATTTGCCAACGACATCGCGAGTGCAATTTTATGGATACATGACAATGAAATTATACATCGAGATCTTGTAAGTTATTGATTATTACTTTATGTTTTGAATTTATTGTATTATTAATAATTTGATTTATTTTATTTAGCATTCCAACAACGTCTTAATCCATCAACATACAATCAAATTAGCGGATTTTGGATATGCGTGTCTGCAAGGATCAGGATCAGTTACTAAAGCAGCACGTGGTGTAATCCCTTATATGGATCCTAAAATTTTTGAAAATCCTTTATATGACTTAAACAAAAAGTCTGATATTTATAGCTTGGGAGTTTTATTCTGGGAATTGACGAGTCGTTCATCTCCTTTCAATTTTGAAACGACAGGCGAAACAACTTCTATTCAGATTGAAATTCTTAACGGTAAAAGAGAAAAACCTATTATATTCACAAATGATGTATTTGTTAAGCTTTATCAAAGTAAGAATATTTTTTAATTTTTTTACAAGTTTATTCTTTTTATTAAATTATCTCTTTAATTAATAGAATGTTGGGAACATGAGCCAGACGGGAGACCAAATGTTGATCAAGTAATTTCAGAGCTTAATAGTATTGATCCTAATAGTTGTGATAATTCTAAAGAAAATGAAGAAAGTGAAATAATAGATGAATTAAAATATGAAGAAGACTTTTCGCTTTATGACGTAAAATTATATTATTAGATAATATTAGTAATTTACATAGATGATTTTATAAATTAACTCCAGATTCTAAGAAATTAGAACTGTCTGCAGTTTCCTGAGCAATAATTCTTTTTTTAGTGAAATCTACTCAGAGAAACGCCCACCTCTTAAGTCTTTTTTTTTCTATAGATTGTGTTTTTATAAAATTTTTTTCACGTGCGATCATGATGTTATTTTGAGTGATTTAATTAACTCTACTTTTTTTTTTATTTAAAATCCATATTTTTTTTTCGGACTTTTTTTTTAAAGAATAAATAAAATCTGGATAAAAAAAAAACAACAAAAAATTTAAAAAAAAATATGTATTTTTTAATAATGCTCTGCAAATTAGAATGCATTTTTGATATATGCAAGATTGTTTGAAAAGGATATCACAAGATTATACGAACGAAAATGATTCTAATAGAAAATTCGTCCCTGAGAGACCGATCCAACCTCATGTTCCCAGCTTTGCACGATTTATTTGATTACAGTATAATACAAAATCCTTGAAACGGGTCTGTCGATCCTTTTACTTTATAGTCAATAATATTAATTCTGGTGTCGCAGATGTTTCTATAAAAATAAATAATTATTCCAAAATATACGCTATTAATTTCTTTTATGTGACCCTAATTTAATCAATTTAAGTCTAAGAAGATTTTTTTAAATAACAATTTTAAACAATTGTATAATGACAAAAATTTAAAAATTTGAAATTAAAATGTAACATTTAATTAGAACTTTTCAACATATTCCAATTAAAAATTAAATTAGATATTAACCTTACAATACTAAATTTACAACAACATATGCAACAAATAATAACCTAGTGTTCAATAAAATTAACATAGCTTTGGGGTTTCGATTATGTGATTGAAGATAATTATGTTAGATTCAAAAAAATCATTTACTGCACTAGTGATATCAGTAGAACGCGCTAAATTCCGAAACAACATGAAACAAGAATTGGAACTAATGGGAGCGTTGCCCGTAAAATCACATTTCGGATCATAGTTAAATGTTTAAAACATTTAGTTAGCCATGTAAATAATCCAATTTAGAGGTTGGAACCGGTTAATTTTTAACCGGTTAATTAACCGGTTAAGACGTTTATCTTGTTAACCGGTTAAAGATT